ATCCTTCTACATCACTGATAAAGAAGACTCTGTCGCTTTCCTCGCCAATGGGTTCACCCATAATAAATTCCTTTGCAGTTGCATGGTAGAATGTAACCGGCTCTGTGTTGTCCGAGGGAAGGTTGACTATTGAGCTGATAGGTTTCAACGTCGCGTCGATATCATTCTCAGTAATTCCTAGAATGATCGACATAGACTTCACATCATGTACAACATCAGAGCGCGCCATGATGATAGTCCCGACTGCTTGGCGATAGTTATTGACCACATGGGGACGAATACGTGTGGAATGGGGCATGTATGCCCGCCGGAGTATGCGCAGGTATTCCGAGTTGAGATCACTCGGTATATCAGTAAGATCGTGAAAGTAGTCAAACTCCTGTCTGAGGGAGGAACCCATTCGAGTGTGAGTGCAGACCTCCCGTACTCGGATCGAAGCCATGAGGGGCAATCCACGGCAGCCTGAAGCGAAAACCTCGAGGTCTTCCTCCGATGGTTTCCATGCTGACTCCCTGATGCAATCGCGGAGTCCTTCATCAACCATACAACGAACCGTGTGTAGAATCTCATCCTCCTCGGTCTTATCCACGTCTTCGCATGGGATCTCAGGGCTCCCATCCCGGGATTTGGCCCGGTTCCAAGCCGAAACAACTTCCTGCTCAGGACGACAACTAACTAGTATGGAAAATATCGGAGGGAGCTCATCAAGAAGAAGCACGAGCTTCATCAGGGACTGGAGTGCCCCTAGATCGCCACATTCATCTAGCCCATCCAAGACGATCACAAAGCGACCCTCTTTCGAAGCCCATATTCCCATGAGATCATTCATTGGTTCAGTGATCAAAACCTTCACTTGCGTCTCCAAGGGAAGGCTCTGAACCAACTCCAAATCTGGATTCCGAAGGCGTTTGACGAGCAACACCTTGAAGTCCTCACTCCAGTGCGCAAGCTGCCGTGCAAGGGTAGAAGGAAACCGCTCCAAAGAATCGAGGCCCGTTCCCTTTTGGTTCTTATCCCAAAAAAATGAGGCTGCCAGGTTGTGCTGCTTGTCAAGGGTGGAAGCGATGCTCAAAGAGATTGCAGTCTTCCCTGTGCCAGGCGAGCCCCTTAACCAGACGAATCGGGTTCTAGCCTTCTTGAGATGTTCGAGTATGGACCTTTGCATCCTGATGCGCGTGGTCGGAAGACATTCAAACTTGGTCTTCACATAAGTATACTCAGCCGGGACGCGCGCAAGCCTCGCAAGGTCAGCTGAAATTACCATCAGTGGAAGGACTCGAGAATAGACATGGGCACGTACATCGCACAGCTGCCTGAATCGTGTGAAGAAGGGTCAAAGTCGTTGCCTCCGTCTATGATATGCACTTCAGTCAGCAAAAAATCGATCATTCGGAACACAAAACAAACAAACCGAGAAGGAGCTGACTGCCTTGTTTATACATGCCTTCACGTCGCTTATGCTCTGCGAGATCTGAGTCCCCGAGACTATTCTCTTTACAAGGCCTTGACTCTTCAGTGACCTGATCTGTCCATTTTGTTCTTCTAAGGCCCTATCAACGGTGCTTAAGTCCAGATGATCAGCACGGGAGATGAACATACGCACCGGTGAAACTCCTCGATTAGTGAATCGACTTCTGGAGATATCTGGCCAGTCCACAGCTGAAGTGGCCGCAAAATGGTGTTGTAAGCTTGTTGTACCTCATCGTTCAGTTCTCTGAGAGTCTTCCTATTGCCATCAACGGTCTGCACAGATGGGGAAAATATGAGCGATATGCCGTCACTGAGAAAACTGCATTCCAACCTCGAAAACTTGGAGCAATGTAAGAAGCAAGTCCGGGATGTTGGCGAGAAGCGCCGGAACGGGGCTCATCTTTAGAGCGGAGGCTGCGGTTTGAAGAAGGATCCTTGTAGCGCCGAAGATCGATTTCTTTCTACTGCCACTGGGGCCGATTGGCGATGACAACAACGGCTCTGATCGGGGAGGTGAAACTGAGTCCGTGCCTAGATGGAATCTTGTACCGCTGTCTTCTAGGGTATAGATACTGGGTATTCCACGGGGCGTCTCGATACTTCTCGGTGAAGGGTGAGGAAAGGGTGACAGTGCCGAATCATCATGGAATGACCGAGCGGAAATAGTGGAAACAGACCGTTCGGAGACGGGCGTGCTTGATCGATAGATATTATTAAGATGGGAAAATCTCCCCCCAATATCTTGTTGGGAATGTGAATCCCGTGGACCACCAGAAGAATGCAGCATGGGTGCAACTCGGGAAACCCCATGATAAGACCCTGCTAATTCATCCTGATCGTGGCGAATACTGTCGGAGGCCTGGCGGCGACATTGCTGCATGAATTTATTTGTATTCGACCATGTAGAATAGTGCCAACGGTATATAACGCTTCGAGCTTTGTGCTACCATTGTCGGGATAGAGATCCTGAGGACTAACATCCTACCAGGGTGGGAGACGCCGTTAGACTCCCATTGTGCTGATGTGTAAAATTAGCCCCAAGTACAGAGTCGCGTCCGAAGATCGAGCGTACCGTATCAGGCTCGCAATATGCGTGTGGATGCAATCGAAGCTGTGGGGGTTTTGTGCCTGATGTACGTCGACTCCCAGGGACAATAATTCTTTCTCAGTCGACCAGGCCTGCGAACCGGTAATGTAAACCTGGGGAACTTGAGGTGAAGACAGAGTGCAGCCACAAATCACTCAAAGATGGCCCAGTCGGTGCAGTCATACGCTTTGGAACAGGCAGCATATGCTTTCGAGAACTACCAGAAGGTCCCGAAGTGGGCATGATCCGAGGGAGTTCGGGAGGTAGTGCTGCTGATCCATCGTACTGATCGTGAGTGATATTGACGTGGCTTTGAGGAATCTGAGGATTGATAAGATAACTCCGGGAAACTTGAAATGAAGACGCCGAGGCATGTGATGGCTGCGGAACACCACGAGATGGCTCAGGGTTGGGGCGCTTTACCATGCGATTGTTTGGGGCAGACGTCGATTTTCTTTTCTGAGACATTGCGCAAACGTCAAGATGGGCAGAAGAGTGAAAATTGACCTGCTGACTCAGCGCTGCCGCACTCGACGGTTATATGCTGAAGCAGCTGTGCGGTGGTTGACCACGATGCAAGCTCAATGGGAAGCATGGCCTTGTTCCGTTTTTGGAAAAAAGAATGTTGGTTCAGAATCATTCACTACTTAGTCATAACCACAACAAGGGCAGCTGGCTAATTAGCCGACGTGGTGGCTACTGGCAGCAGTTTGATCGTGCCTCGGCAGTACAGTGGGATAGGCGCCTGGCTACGTCTGTCCAAGGCATTTTCCGCTCCGAAATTCTGAAGCGGCTGATTCAAGCATCTAGTTCGCTTATCCACCACACCAGGCACCTCGAGCTGGTGGAAAAGCACATCAGAGACCAGCACCGGCCGAACACATCAGCTCGCACCACAAATTACGAACCAAAAGGAGCTGTATGGAACACGCACCCCATGGAGGCCCAGATCCCATCATAAATCTTCAGGCACACTAAAACCAACCAGTCTTCCGAGCTCATGGCATATTTGGTGGTTATGCGTGAAGTCACAAAAGCACTGACCAAGAGTACTAGTAGTGGACAGCTTGAGTGATGAGTGCTGACATCGTGGCCGAATATGGGACTGTCAATAAAGCATGGGGTCCTACCCGGACGAAGGAGGCCGGGTGCACTCGGATCGGATTCATTTTTACTTCTTCCGTGTTTTTATTCGGCACTCTCAGGAGCAGCCTGATACAGCCCCGCGAACTTACACCAGGGGTGTTGTGCACATTATTTTTTCAATCCGCTGCCCTCGCCTCAACCTCACATACTCAGTAAACCTGACGTTCCGAACACAACTAACTCTTCATACCCTTCAATTTTGCCCATGCCAGATGGACTTTGTCTGTTCCTCACGGCATCGATGGCGCGAAAGCGTATGTCAGAAGATCCTCGGCCGAGGGCGCGTCAATTCTCGAATATATACAATATACCGAATTCGAATACTACAGTAACATTGCCAGAGTGGTCAGCTTGGCGCAAACCGGCATATCGATGTGCATGTGCTTGATTCTGCATTCGGATCCAAGCGTATGCATCCAGTGAAACTTGACTTTTTCTTTTGTACCAGGTGCCCATCTCTATCGATCGTCATCTGTCCTTCTGGAGGCAAGTATGGTCTGCATGGACTTTCTCGGAGGACGAGCCTTATATACAGTATTCTCATGTCGAACCCTACTTCGTTTCCGTGTATTTATCCTGAGACCAGCTAGATATCAAACAACAAAGAAAGGATATAAATTTCTAATAGCCCACACCATTGCAGAAGATTGCGGCTTGGGGTGATATTGGCGGGGTCTGGAATGCTTGTGAAAGCAACTACGACGGATGCCGAATGCTGTGCGGTTCTTCGTGACGTCAACAAGATTCGTTGGATGGCGCTTGAAGCGACCCCGCGTCATCGGAACGTCCTGGGCTGAGGACGCGCCAATTCTCGAACTATATTTCAGATTTCAGTCCAACAGTAACATCTCCATGGGATCCGCGTCCTGGCCAACAGCCAACTGGCATGTCGACGTGTTCAACTCTGAGTTTACTACTTACATAGGCAGGAATCCAGCTACTTATGTTCCAAGGCGTGCATCTGGTGAAACCTGAAGTCACGATCAGTTCCTTTGCCTTGGCATCTAGTGACCCTCTTTTGCGTCATCTTTGCCTCTTGGATCGCTCCTCGCCGCAACTCTGACCCATTGATCAGTAGGCTATCGTCTCGAACGGGTCATTAGTCAACGCCCAAGCTTGGTGCATGGCATCCCGGTCCGTAAGCCATTGGTTGCTGCAATTGTTGATGGGCTTTCAGAGCTTGAAGGGGTTTGCGCCTGACTAATTCCCATGTCTCAAAGGTCCAGAAGCCACCATTAGCCTGGCGTCTCAACAGAGGCGATACTCATTCTGTCCCACCTCCAGGCGTCCTGATTGACTAGCGTGTTAAGTCACAACAGGTTGGTGAACCAGCAGGTTTAGCGGTGTCCACCCTTTCGTCTGTATTGACTCTGGTGCGCAGCATGTTAAATTGTCAAACGTAAGGTTTCAAAGCAGTCGGGTTGGACTTGCGGGGCGGGGCCGTTGTGATATCAAAGATTGCTGGGTTTATTGGATTGCATGGCAGTGGGATGTAGATGCACCGGTGTGGCCCTATTCATAGCCGGCCTACATCGTGGGCTTGGGGACCATTTCGACTTGTGAGCGCAAGGACGGTAGGCAAACGTAAGGATTCGCTTATCGTGTCCCTCACTCGGAGCAGAACGAATCCGAAGCCTTTAAAATCACAGATAAACTGTCAGTAAGTCCTCGACCGTCCACCTACCCATGCCACAGGCCAGACTTGTTTATCCCAGATACAATCCCTGTTCCCGTTTGTGGCGAGTGTTTGCGCTGACTTCAGCCAGAGGGCGAGCCTACTCTGTCTATCCACCGCAGGGCAGGTGTTTCACTGCTGTAATATTTGCTCGTGAGCCTTCAATGCCACTGTTTCAATTGTGGAAGGAGAAATAGGATATAGTACTAGGAATGATTCGAGGAAAGAATCGGACGAGTCCCACCAATCTACGACTCAAGAATCTGGTTTGATGGCAGTATCGAGCTCCTCATTCCGGGAGAATGAGTCCCGGTTGGCCTTGACGGCGGGGGCTGGTACGGCGATCGAATGCCGGGCTGCGATGAGGTTTAGCTTCCTCCAGCCAGTCAGGATGGGACTCGAATCATTATCCAGGGCAAGATGGAAGCCCCGATCGTCGTTGATACCGGCAAGTTGTTTAGTGTCTCTGAGTCAATATTCTACTCTTTTCTCGATATTGGCTCCGATCTTGTGGTACACTCCGTACAGCTGTGTCAGAACGTCTTTGTAACATAGCCTGACATTAATGTTAGTAGGTTACAGCCATTCTACACGTCAAGGGTCAAAGCATCCCATGTCAAGCGTAGTCGTAGAAAGACATCCGACCCCCCCTCCTCTTCGAATGACACATTCGCAGGTTACCTCCAAATTCATGGCATTATTAGCATGTCCTTGGGAATCCTGTTGCGATCATCATTGAAGTGTCCGGGCGGCTGGACGTCCTACGGTTTGAACGAATCGGCCTGCCTTCCGCTGAAGCATGGATGAAGAGAGTATTCGCGGGGGCTCTATCAACATAACGTTAAAGGGACAAAACTTGACCAAGCTCGCTATTGATACTAAAGACTCAAAGAGGTGAGAAAGGAATCAAAGAAGTGCGACAACTGGCACTGGCGGACCCAGTTACTGAGATTTGGGTGATGGCAAGGACCTTCGTCCGGCGGAGATCGAGCTTAGCTAACTACCCAGCGGAACAAATTAGTGATAACTCCGACCATCCTGAATCCATGGCTATGTCCCGAAGGCCGGCGAATAAAACCGACTTTAGTTAATAATTATAGTGGTGGAGAGGGCGCAGAGAAGCATCGGGGTGGTCTCTAGCCGACTCCCTCCCACAGGCCACTTGTCGACGTCAAGACGGGAGGCCTTGTAGCACCAAGATTGAACCGACATCGAAAATCGACTCAATTGCCGCCGCGAGCAGAGATAACGACGAGGATGTGGCGGCCACATACACTGGCACATGGAATGGGACGAAATGAGAATCGCAAAAAAAAAAAAAACAGCTACCGTCAGACTCACCCTGAAGCACGCAAATCATAACGTTTACAAACAAGCTTCCATAAACAGCGATCTGAATCTGCCCAACGATCAATCTTGCCGACAACGCGGATAAGGCTTTCATGTACTAACGGGAAGACGCGCAGCTTCTTCAGCCATCCTGGCATCCTCGGAATGCTCATCGATAGGTTTCAGAAGATTGTCGATGAGCTGTGGATAGTCCACTCAGCACGGAAAGTGCAATATCACTGCGGTCACAGGGCGCACCAAATTCTGCCTCAAGTGATACACTCCGATTCCTTTCCCATTCTTCCCCCTCTTCCGAAGGGCCTCCAACTCAGACACAGACTTCATGGCAGACCTTAACATATAAGGGTCTGCGAGCAAATCCTCTGGCGGTTGCTTCTCGACGTCCAGTTCAATCTTCCTGTCACAGGAGGAGGAAGGCGAGGATGTCCTATGCTCTTCATGGATGGAGGAGACGCGGTTCTCTGTAAGTTGCGCGGGCTGTGCCTCAATGGACATGGGAGAAAGAATCAGCGTCTTGTGCCTCTGTCGATTTCGCCATAGAGGGGGGTTAAATACTGAAGTCATGGCCAACGGTCCAATCGAAAGCAGGACAACCCTTATTCCTGGTCCGCGGCCCAGGAACGTACATTCGAAGGCGATATCAGCCATAAAAATCGGTTCAATGCGATCATGAATTGGGAGTGCGGAGCATTAGTTCTGCCCAGATATTTACGTCCGTGGAGGCCTCTCCAGGAGAGGTAAAATGACTCATAACCCTGTGTAGTTATATATTGGACCGTAATCGCTGATGAGGCACTAGCCTGGGCGTTTGTCGAAGAGTAGTTAGCCTAGCAATCCAGCACAAGCACATCCGCAGATGCAAGGCAGATGCGCTTGAATCAGTTATAGGAGACAATTCTCTCCCATGATCGATGGGAAAATACACCTTCACACAGGTGCGGGGCCACCATCGCGACCCCCTATGAAAAATCACCCACCTGAGAGAATCTACGTTGCACGAGTTGTTAAAAGATGTCGAGTTGATCGGGCTTGAGTGCTAATTGCTGCGAGGATTTAAATGCCTGGAACAACCTAGCTCGATGTTACGCAGGAACATAGTTAAATATCGAGATTCTGATCAACTTAGGCCTTACACCCCAACTCTCATCTGTGTATATCAAAGAATGGGGAAATTGTCGGGTACTAGAAGCGAATTGTTGGTAATAGCCGTCATCGAATCGATGCTGCTAAATTGGTAGCGGGTCGAGTGCCACGATCATAACCAGCAAGGAATCCAATGTCCTGATCTCGATTTCGCGGCCCAATACAGCCTCGATATCAGTGCTGGCATTGGTAAGGTTAGCCGATAATATGATATGGCTTGCTTATTTGTTATGAGTATCAAGCAGGATGTCGAGAATTTCAGACTCCGCGCGACCGATGAGGGAGAAGGGGGACCAAAGCACAGCAGTCGGAAATGGACACAAGGGATATGATTTTCAAGCACCACGTTTGAAACCCCACAGGCAGGTTATCCGAAGAACCTGCAGACTTCAGTTGGATCGTAATGAACGACACGCCCCCCCCCCCCCCCCCCCCGCCCCCATACCAAAGGACAGCGTTGGTAAAAGTTCTCGGTGTTGAACAAGGCGGGATAATAGAATTAGCAGCCAAAATGCACAACCCTTCCCTTGTGTGGATGCAACAACAACGAGGTTACCGACGAGCAGAAAAACAAGTGTATCCTCATCGCCTCCGTTCCGATGTTTGCTTCTTGCTGGAGGCAGTTGAAGAGGTTACGGGTGCTGGGTTTGCTTTCTTGGGAGGCAGGCGGCGCTCGTCCGTCTTTGCCGCCCCTCTATTAACATCCTCCATAACACCAGAAGTAATCCTATCTCCGAATATTAGGGGCCAAGGAACTAAAAGTGGGATGATATGGCTTACCCGCTGAAGTCTCCCTGGTGTAAGTCGCTTTGTATTTTCATGATACGACCGTGTCTCTCAGACATCTCCTTCAGCATTTCGGGATCCATGTTTTGCTGATAATATATATATCGCAGATCGAATTCTCGTAAAACAACATCCTGATAAGTGTGTGTTTTCCCAGAAACTCACCATGGCCTTTGGAAGAATGAACAGTGTGATACAAGCGAAAATCATCATCATTGCCATCGGATTGTTCAGCATTGACATCACATCAAAGCCATCCGGAAGCGCGACATATTCTTTGCGTTGGAGCGGGACCAGCAGGATTGGGTATGCCAGAGGATGATGTAGCGGAGAGGGAGAAAATGGGGTCCCAGGGAGAAACGGTCGTACTTGGACACTTGAAGGCGCAGGAAGATTGTCCTCCGCAGGTGTAGTCCCCAAATCTTGCGACAATAACGACTCGTCAAGGGTGTCAACCCGCAGCTGCAGGTGCGTTAACATTGGAGGTCACCGGACATCACAGACAATCACCTGGTCGAAGACATGATCCCTAGCCAGCACTTCAAGGAGATAGGCACCAGGTTCGACGTTAAAACTTGTGGGATCAACGGTATAAGGGGAAACATGCCATTTATGAGGCAAGGATGCAGTCGACCCACAAGGTAAATCCGCCATCTTTCCGTACTCTAGCCGAGTAGCGCCCTCCATCTAGAACAATCTTTGATTGAGGATGGAGAGAAGCTATATCTGGGGACATAGACAGAGGGTTCCAAGAAGAATTCACTGAGTCAAGCCGGGGGACTCAATGCAACACCAACCTGGGCAGTGTGTATTCCAAGCTATACATCAATAGCAAATGAGTGCCTGAGGCGAGAAAGTCAGAACCCTCTAGACGCCGAGTATTGCTGAGGAATAACCTAAAGAACGCGAAGTTGGCTAGCAGGATTAACAAGGCACAACGCATTGATGCCACTGCAGACAAGCGTGACAAGACCTTAAGTAAGCCTCTCCAAAACTTCTGGAACACGACGTGACGGACGGCCTCCTACTACCATTCCCTGTGGTGAGGCACCAGCTGCGAACTATCTGATGTATGGGACTGAGGCCTTGCCTCTGGCAAGACGGAATGCACTAGTTGAAACAAGATCTTCAGGCCGGCACAATAGGGGGGCTCACGGTTGAATAAATTCACCTAAACTGGATCTCAAGTGGGATTTCTCAAGTGAACCTAAAGTGACAAAAGTGCGTCAAAACTAGATCTAAAGTCGCCACTTTAGGTCCTACTCGACTTGGGGCTCAGGAGCCCCAATTCGCCTAAAGTCACTCACTTCAACTTGTCTAAACTCGGCTTTAAAACTGAGTAAGTCCGCAAACTCTTAGCTAATACTAACTGTACAGTTTGCTACCTAGGTCACCTGTTTGTTTCCTTCTTCACCGTCACCCCATCTCTGCCGCTTCCACTGCTGTACTGCTCCCCTTGCTACATGCCCCCCAAACGAAGGAATCTTGAAGAGGGGGGACCATCTCAGCCATGGTCCACACGCTGTTCTCGTGTTTCTAGGAGTGATGATGCCACATCAGCTGTCAAGGCCGAGGCCAAATCAGATCCCCGCCCCCCAAAGATTCAATGGGACTTTAATGAACGGTGGACTGACCGCTTGATTGAATATCTCTCAAACAACCCAGATGTTCGACTAAAGATGTTCAGCGACTCGGTAAAGGATGCAAGGAAGGAGTCACGTAAGAAGGTGAATACTATTCTATGATCCCTTAACCTTGCTGTCCATCATTGCCTAGGTTGTTGGTAGCAAGCTGAAGGTTGAATACTATCGCCAGATAGCCCGGGCAGTTTTTGACATTGTAGATGAGGCTGAACGCACAGCTTATGTATCGGACCCTGAGCGTTATGCTACATCTGTCATGGGTCGGATCATATAGTAAGTATATCTCATTAGAACCGGTGGAGACTGTCTGACGATTTATTGATTATAGTTTACAAAAGACATACACCGGCTATCGCAAATCACTGAAGGTCACTGGTGGAGGCTTGAAGGACGATGATGATGATGGATCTGAGGCATACAATAACCAGTTAGGTACAGCGGTTATTAATTACCTCTGCATACCACTTATGTTTTTAACTTAAGAAATGATCCGATCATCTTTCCGTTGGTGGGATGTGCTGCATGCTTGGTGGTCTGAGCATCCCAAGTATGCCTTTCAAATGGTGACGAATTCAACAACCGGAATCGAAAAAATGGTCTGTGACCTAGAACAAGCCATTTCTACTCACCCAGATGAGGATGATAAGAGTGATGGCAAGGTGGCTGGTTCAGTAAGCTTGTGTGCTTCAAATTTTTATTGATTTACTTACCGACAATATGTTCATTTAGGTCGATGCAATCATATCTTCCCATCCATCTCCATCATCAACACCTCTTATGACCCCACTTGCCTCCGAGCTAACTCTACTTCCCGATGTAGACTCGCTCCCTTGGAATGACTTGAAAATCGACCCGGCAGCATCAGCAAAAAATTGTTATGCTCCTGAGTGCTCCGGAGTATGGGGAGCACTGGGAGAATCAGGAGGAGATTGGCCGGTCCAGGAACAGCTTGTTTCCTCCGGAGTTGGTCAGGTACTCCAGGGCACTCCCAGGAGGGCATGGAGCATTGCTTTGTGCACAAACATATCCAGTAAATACAATTTAATGCTTCAAAATGTATAGGGGTGAGAAGCTTCTGGGAGCTCCTGGAGCATTTGAAAATGAGAAGGAAAAAAAAGAGGGAAGACTCCCCATGAATACCTCCTACCACAAGACTAACACAACAAGACACTACTTAACATTTAGATCAAATACTATACTATACATCAAGGACACTGAGACTCACCAATACACAGTCAAAATTTATGGCCTGATATATGATTAATCTGGCAACTTAATCACTTTCAGACTTGCAGAATATGGAGGAGGGGGAAATGGGGGAGAATGAGGGGGGAAATGAGGGGGAAATGAGGGGGAAATGAGGGGGGAAATGAGGGGGGAAATGAGGGGGAAATGAGGGGGAAATGAGGGGGGAAATGAGGGGGAGAATGAGGGGGAAATGAGGGGGAGAATGAGGGGGGAATATAGAGGGAAATGAGGAAAATTTGAAAAATAGGGACTTCTAAAAAGTTGAAAAAATAATTAGGGAAAAAATCAAAAAAAATTCAGGAACTGTAGTGCCTTTGAAGTGCTTTCAGGATATATAACTATTTGCGAAATTGAGGAAGAAATGATGGAGAAAAATGGAAAATACTTTCGGAGACCCGAGAAATAATGAGAACTGAATTGATGGGAAAGTCTGAAAATTGAATGGGAAAGTGAGGGGAAGCCTTGCAGCATCATTATTTTCTGCTGTTCTAATTTTTCCTGATTCTTCTTGGTCTCACTCCCAGCTGCTCCTGGATACTCCTGGAAGCTCCTGGGAGGGTCCAGGAGCAGCTAATGGAAAATACTTTCAGGGACCCAAGAAATAATGAGAACTGAATTGATGGGAAAGTCTGAAAATTGAATAGGAAAGTGAGGGGAAGCCTTGTAGCATTGTTATTTTCTGCTGTTGTGATTTTTCCTGATTCTTCTTGGTCTCATTCCCAGCTGCTCCTCAATACTCCTGGAAGCTCCTGAAAGCTCCTGGGAGGGTCCAGGAGCAGCTGGGAGTGAGACCAAGAAGAATCAGGGAAAATCACAACAGCAGAAAATAACAATGCTACAAGGCTTCCCCTCACTTTCCTATTCAATTTTCAGACTTTCCCATCAATTCAGTTCTCATTACTTCTCGGGTCTCCGAAAGTATTTTCCATTTTTCTCCATCATTTCTTCCTCAATTTCGCAAATAATTATATGTCCTGAAAGCACTTTAAAGGCACTATAGTTCCTGAATTTTTTTTGATTTTTTTTCCCTAAATTTATTTTTTTCAACTTTTTAGAGACCAAAATTTTCCTCCCACTGCTCCTGGCACATTGCATACTCCTCACCACTCCCAGCCGCTCCTGAACCCCCTCCCAGGAGAACACTATTGGCTCCAGGAGTGCCCAATCTGCTGTTTTGTCTCCCACATGCTCCAGCCACTCCTGATGCTCCGGAGCATAATGGACTTTTGCTGATGCACTGCTTGAAACAGACCCACCACTCCTTCATATGAATTTGCCACATGCCCAAGCCGACCCCGATGTCAAGACAAGGCTGAATTCAGAAGATTCTGCATCTTTTCCCTCTTCCTCTTGTACACTGGCAAGGACAACCACTGTACCGAAGTCTAAGGGACCTGTGGCCCGGCAATCTCTGCGCACTCCAGGTTCAAAAGTTCGGAAGGATTTCATTACTGACTTCCATGAAGCCACACATGTTGACCAGGAGCAAGCCAAGCTAGAGGCAGAGTACTACCATGCACAGCAGATGGCCCGGCTTGAGATTAAGAAAGAGAAAATGCAACGAAAGTATGAAATTGAGACCCTCAAACTTCAAGTACAACTGGCACAGATCCGGCAGCAGCAGCAGCCACAACAACATCTTGCATAACTTGTGCTTTTTGTTAACTTTGTCGCACTCCCATATGTCATGTGATTAATTAAAAAAGGAATTAATACAGTTCATCAAAAAGGGCTTCTTGTACATGTCGGCGCTTCTGTTGCGCTTCCATCTCCCCCGGAAGTGGTGGTCCCATCCCACCCCAGGTAAAACCTTCAATAGGTCCTTCATCCTCTCTCTCATCCTCTCCACTCATACCTTCGTCAACCCATTCCCAGAAATCACTCTCATACTCGTGATCCTCATGACATGCTGCAAATGAGTGGACAATTAAACAAGTCCTTACCCATGCAAGGGCAAGCATATACTCACGCTCTGAATTGATTTGCTGACGAAGACCACGGAGTGACTGAAACCGACCTTTAAGATACCCCACCGCATGTTCAGACCTTATGCGCACCTGTAATGCAAAAATACTACTTAATTTATAAATACATGTCGGGCATGCAACTTACTGTTGATAAATGATAGTTAAATTGGCGGTTGGATGGGATAAGGGATTGTGGGCGCTTATAAGGCACCATGCACCAAGGTGACAGAGCATACGCTGAATCAGCCCACAACCACTCACCATCACGGAAAAGTTGGGCAGCATCCTTGAAAGCACGGGATTCCTTGAATGCAGTCGAGTCATGGGTGCTACCAGGAGGGCCTAGCACATAGTCGATAATCCGAAGGTTTGGCAATGTTATGAGCTGGAAGAATATTAGAGCCAGTAATCCATGCTGTGAAACATGCTTACCGTAAGACTGAGTGAATAATTGGACTTACGGTCAAAAAACTGCTCCCCAAAGTGTCCAGGCTTGGATGCAAGGGGAATAAGGGTTCCATCAACCATGCAAAAGCCCGACCTCCAGGTGCAGCAAGATATGCTCTCCACCCAGTCTGAAGCCTCCCGCTTCTCATCCACATTAGGCCATCGAATAGCCTGGTCATGAAGTGGTAAAAAGGCTGTAATGACATGTCAGGTAGCATTAATGACAGTGCCAACACTACAACCGGCCCACTGGGCAACTGCGTCAATGGAGGCAGTGCTGCCAAAATGGCCAAACCGAAATAATGCGATGGCGAGTTGGCATGGGATGGGCCATTGATCGAGTTGAGAGTTGTTGTGAAAGGAGGGGTGGTCTTGAATGAGGGAGATGAGAACATCAAATGTGCGAGGTGAGATATGGAGATTTCGACGGAAGCGCACAGGGTCATCATCTTTGTAACATACAAGGACAAGCCCTAGCTGGCTACATTTTGAAACCTCATGTGGAAATAGGACGCAGGTGGAAAGGAGGCCAGAGAGAAAGGATCGCGCACGGAACATGGACTGGAAGTAGGAGTGATGGAGAGACTGCAGAGCATGGCCACATTCAGCATTAGATGACAAAGATAGACCGGAGGTGTTGTGGTTGCCACTGTTATCACCATTGTCACCGTTGTCGTTGCTGCTGCTGCTACTGCTACTGCTACTGCTACTGCTACTGCTACTGCTACTGCCGCTACCACTTGACATGGATGTCACACTGTTGTCACTGGAGTTGTCAGTGTTTGAACTAGAACTCAAAGAGCGGTTCCTTGATCTTAGACGTTGGCATTGTTGATGGTGACGTGCACGTATTCGAAGAGTGTGCTGGAGGGCCACGTGTATGAGGAGCTGGCGGTCGGAAGTAGATGGCATTCAGAAGTATAGTGATTGCGTGACCACGGAACGGAACGGACTTATGAGATCCGGGTCCGAGCTACTTTGGACACACTTTAGAACCACCCCAACTTTGAACGCCCTTGAAGTGACCTAAACTCGACCTAAACTTGCTCTAAACTCGGGCCCCACTTGAGGTGGAATTTAGGTCAATTTCGAACTACTTTGGAAACCAGTTTAGCCCCACTTTAATCAACCGTGAGGCCCCCTAATTACGTAGTGTTTTTTTCTTCCGTTTCTATGGAATGAGCCACTGAAAAATAATATACTTGTCACGGGTTCATGAATTATATGTCTGACTTGTCTGACTTGATCGACGTGCTCAGGTCCGGGTTCAAATTTTATATTACAAATGTAGAAGTCACGCTCTGCTTTCAATACAAAAAATCACATGTTACATGGGGATAAACCCAAGTCCGATCATTTAGTCCATTCTGGGAGTGGCAACACGCTTATGTCATATCCCGGAATCCTGACCCCATGCACTCCCACCACATCACACCTTCCTAACAACTTCACCATCCCCTACACCATGCCTCCCCACTCTCCAAGTCACCTTCCCTCCTGACTGTCTCAGCTCCGGTCTGGTTGCGGCACACCGAACCTTGGCTACTCCCATCCCGGAACCCCGGTCCCGAGTCGGAACATTCGGAGACCCTGGATTTGCTCCGATATCCTGACGGACCTCCGACATCCCGTGACATACCCTTAAACCATTCCTTCACCCACTTCATTTATTGGAGTCACCCAACATCCTTCGGATATGCAACTCCGCTTTCGGAGCTAACCGCATCTTTCGGTGATCTCCTTCACGCTATCACTTATTAGTCATCTTCCATTCTTAGCACGACTACCTTCTTACTACCATTCAGTCGGCTAACCCCCCTTTACCCATTTGTCTTCCCCATTCATTTTCCGGCCTCCAACTCCGCCCTCCTTGGCCCGACACCTCGGTTCCCCGTTTTAGATATCGTCCGGAACCTTTCGGTACCTCTCGGTATCATTCGGTACCTTTCGGTGTTTTCCCCGTTTTGTCATTTCGGGCTTTGACTAAAGTCCTCCCCATCCTCCTTTATAAATACACGTAGATTAGAACCTGTAGTTCCTCAGTTCTAATCTCGACTAAAAATGCCACCCAAAGTCCCTCTGAGTGAATCCTGTCCCTGTTCTACAAGACACCTCAGACATAAGAAATACAAGGACTAACTGAGACGTAACGGAGGCACAGCGCTCCCTCCGAGTCGCTGAGGCCGCGTCCTTCTTAGAGCCTCTTGTACCATCCAGCAGAACTGGGCTCCCTGAGAAGCTTCGGTTCACTACCGGAGCCCTCGGACCCCCCTCTAGTTGAGCCCCG